TGAAACATTATCATTTTTCCTAGTCGCATTTCGTTGCTGAAATTCTATGCGTCGATTAGCAATTTGCTGCAAGTGCTGATTAGGTTTCCTACAACACCGACGAAAATACATCATATTATTTTCGTAAGGAACAGCAGAGAAAGCATCTAATGGACCGAAACGTTTTACCTTCGACAAGATGCGAAAGGGAATGCGTATTATACATATGTCAAAAAGTGAGGCCCATAAATATTTTCAGCATGATTAATAAAAATGCATAATGCTGAATGAGCTAAGGACAAATCCGAGTCTGAGACGGAAGGTTTACATAAAATGCGAATACCCAGATTTAAAAGCATAAAATGCGAATAAACCAATGGGTGGACAATGCCTGCAAAAACTGCCGGACCACTGTAACATAAAATTTGCCGTTGCTCAGTAGCTTTAAATTTCTTAAACTTTATAATCGAAGTAGGTTTTCGCGAAAACTCACGAGGGCACCAATATTTTACTCTTTCTAAACATTCAGAAAACAATTTTTTAAATCGAGGAGTCAGTTTTACGAGAAGAGAATATTTACCGTCAATGAGGCCCGACTCAATTGAGATAGTTCCTCGTACGGCTGCTCGTCAACCTGGGGTTTTTCCGCGGGACACATTATGTGGTCTCTCAATTTTTCTATGTCATTTTCGGAGTATACTCCTGATATGGCCAGGGGGCCAGGTTTGGTTCCATGATAGCTTGGTCAATGGCTTCATCTGCTGTGGGGGTAGTTGTAGGACTTGTGGTTTTGGGGTGAATTGGATCCAGGTGTTTTCAATATGGTATAAAGTAGGTAAGTCGGTGGAGCATTCTCGCTCGTTTCCAGTGCGGGTGACAATGCGGGATTTCGGGGTTAGGAACAAGGATGCGTTCCGTAAGGTGATTGGCAATTCGTTGTAGCACTCGTCGGTCTTTCGGACGGTTACCTCGACTGGTATATATTTGATGACGTGAACGGCTTCTCCGGCGGTGACGGCCATATGTCCGGGTCCATTCATGAGCCTGTATGCGAACTCGTCAGGTTGCAGAGTAGCAAAAGACAGGGTGTTAGTCAAGACTTGTCTTTCCAGTGTGCACTTTTGCTGCATCACATTGTGATAAAGGAGCGTCATCTGATTTTGGAGGTGGACTATAGTAATGACTAGAAATAACACTCTGCAATATCTTAATACTAAAAGTGATAAAATATGTCTGTATGAAGTAATAGAGTATAGTAGTACAATTATATAAAATGTATAATATATAAAATGTATAAAGGCAAAATGCTATGATTATGGAAGCTAGAATTTATTCGAGGAATGTCGTTACCTATATAGCTAAATACTACTTATATGTAGTCAGAATATTAAATGTCATGATACCTAGATTAGTATTTAAATGATAGAATATATTTGCTCGCATAATGGAAAAAATAAAAATAAAAATATTATATTCGAGGTAAGCGTTATAATTATAAAAGTGGAAAATTTTCGCGGGACGTTACAGTCGTCGTGCACTTGAATACGTGGCATGTACCCGGTTTTGACATCTCTATTCATTACGCGGAGTGCGAGAACTGTCTTCGATCTCGCGGGTACAACGGCTGTTTCTCGATCATTGAAATAAATCGGGTGGCCTTGCCACATGACTAAGTTTTCCGAAAAGTCTATTCTTGATGCGTCTTGCAGGAAGTCGGAGCCCAATATTCCATTTTGTGATATAGGGAAGTCGTCTGTTACCATATGCAAGTTTATTCTGTGCCCAAGATAATTGATGTTGATGGAACCTAC